TTTTTGTTGTACTATATGCAAGTGTAAAAATCCAAAAGGAAAAAAAAATATTCATCCAAGTAAAAGAAAATGTTTAAAGCGGCAGGACATATTGAAGATAGTTAACACATAAATNTTATATATATATATATATATACAATTAGTTAGAGACTCGTGCTGATAACGTGTTATGAAATAAAGGCAATTTAGTAAAACATGAACAAGAAATAAAAGAATTTAGTAAAACATGAACAAGAAATAGAGATAGAGAGAAGGAAGAGATTTTCTTCTTCAATTGTGTGTATTTTCCTATCTATTACAAGGCCTTTATATAGACATGAAAAGTGAAGAAAATATGTCATGGAATATGTCATTGAACATAGAAAATATGTCATTGAATATCTCATTAACCATTTGAGAGAAAGATCATGGAGGAAGAGTAGACATCCACCATATTTTGATTTTTATCATAACAGATTCATCTTTTTCCGAATCTTTTTCCACTTTTTTCGAAATCAACGTTTGGCAATGAAAATTTTCGATTTTTACTTGAAAATGAATTTTAGAGTTTTTCGAAAATTTGAAAAACTCCAAAAAACTATTTTTCAAAATTCACTTCAAATTACTCATAAAAATTCGAAAACATCTCAAAATTATATTCATATCCAAACAAAACTCTAATATTCAAATATCATTTTCACTTGAAGAAAAATTTCACATTTTTTCTGAAATTTTACAATTCTTATGTCCAAGCGCCCACTAAACCATTCTGACTTTTTTCCCTCTTAGCTCTACATGTTCCAACACAAAAGCGTAGTATTCAAATGGAGCCGGTTTAGAGAAGTGGGCCCATTCTCTATCAAATTTCACATTGTGCCCCAATGAACTTGGTGATTTTTCGGTTATAAAAAGAAGTACAACATAAAGTTACCATTCAGCACCTTGTCTTTAATATGTTCAGTAATGAAGTTTCTCTTGTTCACCCAAACTAAAAGGCCTAGAAGAAGGTTTAGTATCGAACTGCAGAGGGAAGGGGTTTTGGCAAAGGGTATCAAAGATCCATGCAGCCTGCTCCAAGGTTATTCTCATATATTTATAACTCAAGCAATTCCTCAACCATTTGCATTTATCCCGCTCCAAACATAAGGTTAGAGAAACCAACAGGAACAAGTAGGACGAAATAGCTTCTAATTGACTGATCAGAATATTTGCTGCAAAACCTTGCAATTTGATATTAAAAAATTGTTGAATCCAAGGGCTTAAAATCTACAGGTAGCTTGGCAACAATTAACATCCCATTAAAGTTGCTTAACTTCCTTGTAAGTATCCATATATTGAACAGGAATCACCTAGTAACTCAGCTGATTAGCTTGTCTTGCTTTGTGCATTTGGCGACATCCCAGTAGTCTTCGATATGTCATTGCCGCAGAATGAGAAATAAATCACATATAGAAGCTTCAAATCTTCTCAAATAGTTTATGAACCAAAGAAGCCATCGATGTACAATTAAACGGAATTTGTTGTTTGCTGCTGAACATCTACTTGATCAAACCACTACACATGATGAATTTCAAGTTAGTTATACTGGCAGAATTACACAGCCATCAAGATTTTATGCGTATTTACCACCAAAAAAAAATAAGTTATGCATAAAATAAGACACACGTACTTCCGACGATATGCATGTCATCATAGTACACTAAAGTCATCTAGTTATGAGTCTCCAAACCTCTAAAAGGATTTGAATTGTTCATAATCACGGGCACAGTAATACAACCCCAACAACTGAAGCATCCAACTAAAGTACTAACAATCTTCAAAGAAAACAAAAGGAAAAGGGGGAAACGGAGAAGTAAAGAAGAGGTGCCAAAGCATAAGAGGATTTCAAGTGGCGTTGAATTCACAAGCCTAAGAGACAACAAGAGCAAATCAGAAGCAGCAGAAAAACAGTGAATAGTCCATGTTCTTACTGTTGTTGAAACTCACTGCTATACCATGACAGGCCAAGACGCTCACCACACAAAACACTAATAAAATGGTGAGATATTCCTTTTTTAAGGCTGATACTCCTTTTTTTATCAGGACAGCCTTCAATTGAGATGAAAAGATTGAAATATAATAACAAAGCTTTTCTTTGGGTGGGGGCGGGGGACTAGATCAGATTAAGTCGTAAAATGACAAAATTAAGCCTGAATACAGAATCACCCAACTCAGTTGGTCATGAACCGTATGGATTCAGTCATAGGAGTTAATACATAATGGTGCTTCAAATCAAATTGCACCAGGATCTTAAGAAATGCCAGTTCTAGTTGAAATCATTGAGCTCTGAGAAATTTAATATAAAAGAGATTCATTTCGTAACCAACCTCCACGTGATCATTTGTCTTGAAATAGGGTAAGTGTTTTTATAGCTATAGATGCTAAGAAATAAGAATGAATAACAACCTTCCCAATCACAACTGCCAGGGTAAAAGTGCGACTCTAAGACCAGCTTCTTCTGATACAAAAGAAGACCTAGTTGTGAAAAGCATAATAATGGGGAATACAGCACCACATGCAAATATGACAAACATCAGAACCACATCATACTTTGCTGTATTTGAATGGGTTATATGTTGATTCACTTATTGCATCTTTAGAAACTAGGAAAGACAAAGAAGAACTTATTCTAAAAGCTAAGGTTTGAGAACATCGGAGATCCCAAATCTCTTAAATCAAGACGTAACTGGTTTTACCATTAGTTAACCAGATACAAGATGTTATTTCATTCTCATGATGAATGCATGCAAATAGTCCGAACTGGCATCAGTTATTCCATGCGTGAACAGACTTCACATATTACTTCTCCAACTACTCTAAATTGGATTGCCAATAATGCATAAGCTAACATCAATTTGACTTCAGACAAAAATTTTAATCTTGAACTTAAAAATAAATTGCACAAATCATCTCTAATAATTTGCTTTGTCTCAGTTTGTCCCTACGAATCTGGAAGTCTTAATTCCATCCATGGTGTCTGGAATTTGTGTCAATTTCGTCAAGTCTATTCCTAATGTCTAGATTTCATAATTTAAAATACGCATTTGAAATGCTTTTGGCCACATTNCGCTTTTGCTAAGCAAATCACGTTTCTAAGCATAACCAAGGGCCAAGTCCTCTTCTGACCTGAATTGGCTTACTGACCTTGAGTTCTAGGAAGAATCCACCACCTTAACCGTCTAAAGAGGGGGTTATGAAGATATATCAGCACCGAGGGGCAAGTTTAGTTGCTTTGGCACAGGTTTCCCTCACAAAAAAAGAAGGTTAACCAAATTACAAGAAGAATGAAAGTCCTATAAGATATCTCCCTTTTTACATTGATACAGCGAGGCTGTGGATCGGCTAAGACACTCAAAGATGCACATTTGGGAAAATAGGTAGGAGAATAAGCCTAATGGTATTCAAAACATCTTTTCCAAAGACTAAGAAGACATCAACTAATTCTGAATGTGAAGGGTGAAATTTAAAATTTTGTAATATTGGGTTCTAGGGACACAGTCAGAACAAATCCCAAAGAACTGGTACAATTTGAAATATTTTCTAATTTATTACTGTCAGAAAATCTAAAGGATCCATCTTTATTCATGGCGACTTAATTTCCATAATGAAAAACCTCTCAGTTAAAAAGGACCAGCATCCTAGTCAATTAGCAACAGGAAGTTAACTGGCAAGTGGAAGAAAGACACTTTACTTCATGTAGAATTGAGAAACATGATGTTCACGGGTAAGTCAATCCCGAGGTCTCTGTGCAATATTCTGCACTTTTATCCCATTAACTCACATCAGTTTCTTCAGATGCTGACTCCCTCTCCCTGCCTTTCTACTGTCATGTTTTTTGGTGTAATAATTACAAATTTGTAACTGCAACTACTCCTCTAGTTTTCGTCACATAACCTTGAACACGGCACATATAAATACTAACTTGTATCCAGTATATGAATTCAAAAACACTCGAGCATGGTGCCATCTCATTCATAGCTATAACAAGCTGTCGGCAAAGAACCAGATAAAAGTGAAATTTTCTAGAAGACCACCAGTATAATTCAATATATACAAAATCAAATAAATAGATACAAATCTTCACATGCTATGGAACGCTGAAGGAAGATGCGGTTATAAATGAACTTCTGGCGACATACAGCATATAGAAAATTAATATTACCTCTGCAGTTTACCTTAAAAGTTTCAATCAGTGCGTGCCACTCAAGTGTATATGTTCAAGAAATAACAGTGAAATACAAAGAAAAAGATAGATGTGGACAAGAATAGACAGAGAACATCTACAGAGTGCCAGTTCACATCATAATTAAGAAGCAGCAATAATAACAAAACCTAAGGAAAAAAACATTAGAACAGCTTAAAGAGACCAAATCAAAGTGATGATACATAGGCCAACACGATAGAGATAGATTATAGCAGAATGATAAAGCTTTTCCTCAAACGATGGTAATTCTATAACAGTAAGGAGGCAAATGGATGGAAAAGGAGCTTACTTGATCGGTATCTTGTAATGGGAATTTCTCGTAATTCACGTTTTATACACAAATATTCACCCAACAATGCCATCACCGCAAGCCCAGTAACATTCACAATCCACCATGTAATTGAGGAAGGCCAACCGCCATAGACAATGCATATAAAAAGATGGACGATGTAGAGTGTTGCAGAAAAATCTAGGCACTTCTTTGCCCTCTCAATCAAATAAAGTAAAATGCCAGCTCTGTTAAGGGCAACAAGACAAATTGGAAATTTAATTACGCAGGTTAATCAAATTCTCGAGAAATAATATTTTTCCACATGAGAACACCGTGCATAAAGGAAAACCACACAAGGTTCGAACAAGTAGACAACTTTGGAGCATTTACCTTATCCCAGAAAGGGAAAAAAAGAGTATACAACAATGGAGGAACAAAGTTAAAATATATAACTCATTCTTAACTCATCTTTTTGCTTATTTGGTATTGCATTTGCCTTTTGATTTCTTTTCTTCCATAGGATAAGGTCCCTCTTCCCTGTTCCACCAATTTATATTGGACAAATAGAACTGTAGAAGATGTAACACAAAGAGTACCAGCAGTAATATATTGTAACCTCCCCAGCAAAAAGAATAAAACTCCAAAACAAAGACGAGGCTGAAAGGATCAGTTCTCTAAAATACAGGTAACATGTCTTTGAGTTCCAACACATGAAACCCCAATTACTCAAAGATATAACCTTTATCTCACCAATTCCAAGCGGAATATTTTCACATAAAATGGGTAAGAGTTCTAGGGTTTTAAGGCAGAAACAGACTTATGATATGGGAATTAGTAGGCTTTCAATCACTAATGAAGGCATAACCAAAGATGAAAATATCAACAACGATACTTCTAAAGTTATACTCTTCACTAAGTTAATATAACTGAATTAAGTAACAGTCCTATAAGTAATTAAATCAACAAAAAAGGGAATAAACGAAGATGAAAGCTTATGAAGGGGTGGGAAATGATCTTTTATAGAAGAGGGTCAGTCTTTTGTTATTAGTTAATTTCTTGGCGCACCATGAAGTTGACTAGGTGCTATTTGTCTCTTTGTGCAGACTCCCTATTTTTGCATATCGTTTGTACTTTGCAATTTTACTTGAACAGTGTAGAGAGAATTTCTCACCACCAACAACAATAACTATGCTGCAATCCAAGCTAGTAGGGGTCCGCGGCATGAATCCTCAAAATCATAAATGCTCTATTTGGGTCCATAGTATTTCAATACTCCGTACTTAAGGATAATCTAATACTCAGTTTATGTCACTCTTTCCTGTTTAGTCAGTCCAAAAAGAATGACATCTTTTTATATTAGTTCAATTTAACCTTAAACTTCCTATTACCCTTAATATAGTGGTCTATAGCCACCACAATTTCTATGGCTTGTTTTAGACCACAAGTTTTAAGTCTTTCTTTCTTAAAAACCCTTCTTAGTCAAACACCAGCACATAAATTGGACAGAGGGGATACTAGAGTTCTCCAATGAACTCTAGTAGTTATAGCTCTAAGAGTCTTCTAGTTGGTATTAACCATACAGATTTCTTTTTTTTTTTACAAGATTTTCAACCATTTGTTTCTATCTTTTGGTATATCTGCCCCAATGAAATTTTTCTCACCGCATTAATAAAATTAGTACCTTAACAGAAAAGGGAATAGACGAACCAATTTAAAAAGATTTTTAACAATAACACAATTTATCAATATGACCATAAAATTGTCAAAAAACTCTAAACCACAAAGCTGCTGACAACGGATTGCACCAGATTATGTGCGAAGACAGAAAAGAAAAAAAATGAAATCTCACCCTGCAAGAGAACTTAGGAGAAAGGAAGCAATGACGCACCATCCGGTTACAGTTGAAGCAGTAACAGCAGCATAATCAAAGAAATAGACAAGATTCAATCGAGAAACACGAGTCCCAACAAGAATTGCCAAGAATATCCCTAGTGTCAAATAGTATAGGCATTGAAGACACACAATTTGGGCAACAATTAGCCAAGGATCCCACACCACCGCACCATAGAACATGACTGTTGATGAATTCTTCCCCACAAAAACACACCCAACAACTTTCCAATTCCCCCAAAATTCACAAAAGAACTCACACCAAAAGTACAATCTTCGATGATCTGTTGCTGAGTTCTTCCTCACAAACAAACACCCAACTCTTCAACTCCCTCAACACCCACAAAATTACCCTTTGATCTGAACCAAAATTCAACTTCAAAATACACCAAAGTTCAATTTTTATGACTGGTGCTGAGTTCCTCCACCCAAACAAACACTCACCAAAGCACTCACTGATCTGAATCAAAATTCAACCTCAAAAGACACCAAAATACAATCTTTGATTGCTCTTGTTGAGTTCATCCACACAAACAAACAACAAATTTCCCCAATTCCCTTATAACCTACCAAAATACTTATTAATCTAAATCAAAATTCAACCTCAAAAACACACAAAACTACAATCTTTGATGACTGCTGCTGAGTTCTTCCACATAAACAAACAACAAATTTCCCCAATTCCCTGAAAACGTTTTATTAATCTGAATCAAATTCAACCTCAAAAACACAAAAGAAAAAGTATAATCTTTGATGACTGTTGCTGAGTTCTTCTCTCACAAACAAACACTCAACACTTTGGTCTGAATCAAAATTGAACCTAAAACAAATACACCAAAAGTAACAATCTCTGATCTGAATCAAAATTCAAAGCTAAGTATGAAGCATGAATTGCAATAAAGCATATGTTATTATGTGAATAGGGAAAGGAGATACGTAACCTTAATTTCGCCGGTAAGAAGAAAAAGCGTTAAAGCGAAGAGAAACTGAGATTCAGTTTTTGAAAATCAAAAGCTGAATTCTTTGTTTTTTTTAGAAAAAAACAAATAAACTTATATTCAACGAATAATAGTTTGGTCACTGACCATAAGAGGAGGAATTTAGGGGTAAAAATAATGGAACCGTAAAATCGCACCAAATTAAAAAGTCAAATCAAACCGATTAAAAAATTCGTTTTATATTAGTATTGAGTAAAAAAACCTGAACCAAACTAACATATAAATATATAATTTTTATATATACTTTTAAGATTTATATAGAATTTTCTTTAGAAAACGTCTAGAAATATTTGGGATTATCTTGCGGATATAATATATAATAATATATGAAGTGCTCCATATTTATTAACCTTAAATAATAGATTGTATGATCACTTTCTCATCAAGTGTTACTGAAATGTGTTAATTTTTTTGTTCTTCCATAGTATGATCATATGTTAAGATCTGCTAAATTATCTTTTTCGAATGTGAAGTGATTATTATTGTTTAAGTATCATATTGATTTTTATGTTTAATTACTAAATTCGATTAACCTTGAAAGTGTACATCAACGAAACATTATTGTCAGACGACTAAAAAAAATAACTATTATGTGTTACTAAGAAAATTCTCTCATAAGAATATTTTAATAGATAATATGTTTGTCAATTTTTTATATTTTTACTAAACATATATATTTACTTATCAAAAATTTGACAAAGTAAGATTGAAACAATATTTAAGTAACAAAAACCTGAAAAATCCGAAAATCCGACAAAACCGAACCAATCCAAACTGATATAGTTAGTTTGGTTTGGTTTTGATAAAAAACGAACCAATTCGGTCCATGTACACCCTAGGGAGGATTATTGGTAGGGATAAGAATCGACACTAATTACGGTTTTACGGATGTATTGTTGAACAATAAAACTTTAAATACAGTCAGACCTCGGTATAACAACATCCCTATATAACACTCATTCACTATAAAAGCCTAGTTTTTCTCAGAACCGATTTTTTTATGTTACAGCATTCTGCCTATAACATCAACATCTTTATAACAGTACGTTCTTTGTAAAATTACCCCTTTATAACACTCATGCAAATTTTCTAAGATTATTACTAATAATAATTCTAAATATTTAAGCAAATATTTTATATCTTTAATGTACAACTTATTATAGCTATATATATTATTTTAAGGATAGCAGTATGTTCCATGAACATATGCACATCAAATATTGTTATAACTAAAAATTTACAAATGATATATCTTGCATTAGAAAAATGCCAAAAGATATTTAAAAGATCTATTTATACTTTTTGAAGATATGCATATCATTCTTTTTTTTATTTGAAGATGTACACATAATATATCTTATATTGGACAATTACCAATAATATGTAAACGTAATTTATTTGTATTTTTTAATTGTGCTTGTCTTAGAGTTTAAATATTTGTGTGTTTAGTTAAGAATTTTTTAATAATATATTAGATTTCTTTAGCATTTAATTCGTGAAATATTTGTATCTTTTGAGATTTTGAATTTAAACATTTTATTAATCTTTTATATATAATATTGAAAAAGAAAAATAATTAGTTTTTGGGTAATTTTTGTCTGTAACAACCAAAATATATTTAAATGTCAAATGTTATTATAGGTATATAACAATTATTCACTATAAAAGCCGAATTTTTTTGGAACAAACGATAATGTTATAGAAAGGTTTGATTGTACTTAAGAGTGCTTTTTTAGTTAAATCGGTGAATGTAAGATATTTATTTAATCTAAATCTATCTAATCTAATCAAAATTTGGATACACATGACACCCTAGTCAAATGTTACATTAATATATAAGACAAAGCATAAAGTGTCGGTAGGATCAAAGTGGATAATATATACCATAACCTATAAATTCGTATATTAATTTTTATAAGATGAAAACTAATTAAACATACTATTAGGAAATTCTTAAATTATTGATTTGCTTTTATATCCTTTAAATATTAGTTATTTCATCCAAAAAAAAGGATAAAATTGAAATATTAAAACCACTTCCTAATATGATTTTGCATGGAATTCTAAAACCACCTATTCTTGAAGTTCTAACTTCTAAACCATACAAATTGAAATTAGTTTTTACCACTATATAAAAGGTTTGTTGTCTCGGTTGACTACTGGTATATTCATCACTATTCCCTCACGCTTCAAGTATGAGCTTTCTAGAGGCAACGTCGAAACTACACTCTAGTAAAGATGGTCGGAACCTATTAATGAATAATAAATTATGTCAACATGTATAATTGTTAACCGTTATATATTACTAACAATATTTCAGTTTCTTTAAGGAAAAAGAAAAATCCAATTAAACAAGATACGTCGAATAAATCTTTGATTGTGTTGCCTCATTTGTTCTTATATAATAGGTTAAGTTTATCGATCATTGTCTCTGCTTTGCATGGAATATCAGTCTTTTGAGAGATAACTTAGTTTCATTCGTGTATATGTTTCTGTCTATTTTTCTCAATTGAAAGCGTTTGGAGCACCGATTTGGTTTGACTTACAATAAGATATCGATAATATTACACAATAACTAAGCAATGATCCTTACGTATAACTAGCATAATCCTTGCTAATTGGATGTGTAATGATTAGGGAATAACATTATACTTTGCCTTAAGCAGTAATTAGTATATGTTCAGTGGATAAACAACTTTGATGTCAACTCAGCTGCTAACCTTTTTTAAGTTTTTCATGTCTATTCTTTTTGTAAAGAATTGACAAAATGCATACCATGATTTTCTTTACAAAATTTCTTGCTTTTAATGAAGTTTCATATTTGATTGCTTTTATTATGTCTTGCAAGCAAGATACATCATATACGAGGAAAGGGCTATTTTCTTAAAGGACACAAATGATTAGATCCTTGCTTAGAATTATATGATTAGATTTGTCCAAAATAGCTAATGTAAAATAAATTATTTTCTTTTTCATATATATTATGTTGTGAATCGAAAGGTTCATCTTCTGTACAAGTCTAGAAAAACTTAGTCAGTTGTCTACTTAATTTAGGATGAAAATCTTGAAAAAATAAAATAAAAGGTTTGAGTAAGTAGATAGATATCACATGTGCTGGAAAGACCTTATATTTCTTTAGTACATATATTTTAATTTATACATATAGGTTTTGGGTTGGGTCGAGTGGGGTCGGTCCTCTTTTAATTTGGTCAATATTGATTAGATTGAAAATAGAATATACATGGAGTAAAACAATATTATATCGGAAAGTTAAATTTTCCAGCAATTGTGACTTTTGTGTGAGTAACTGAAAGTCTTGTGAATTTTGTGTTAGAACATATAGTTATAGGATTTTTTTTTTTTTTTTAAAGTCATAGAATAAATGATCTTTTGTGAAATTTACCCATAAAAAATATTATGAGTCCTATATCACATTGTGACATAAAGCTTTTACTGTAAAATAAAATATGACAAATAAAAATAAAACTTTTTCTCTCTAGATGCTAATTTGATGCGGGTTATTTGGAGGCCAAATATGATAATGGTCTGGATGTTACGTAGTGTCTACCATCGATCAAACTAATTTAAGTATATCAAATTACTCTAGGTCCTTGATGTGTTACTTATATCAATCAAATTATTTTAGATTCTTGATGTGCTATTTATATCATTCCTTATTTATTATTTTATTAGCTACGGATTATCAATAGACAATCTTAACGATTATTTTTTAAGAAAAATGCAAGTCACTCAATAAGCTGAGAGATGTTAGAGGGTAAAAAAAAAGTATCAGTTTTCATTAAAGAAACTAAAAAGAAAAAAAGGGTTATGACAAAAACCTTAGGGCTAAAAAAACTTTCAAAATATTAAGAAATGAGAGCATACTAGAATAATATAGTAATGGACAAGGGCAGAACTAGAGACCGAGGTACAAGTTCGGCCAAATCCAGTAATTTTGGTGCAAACTCTGTATTTGTTTTAAAAAATTTATTTAACATATATAAATTATTAATTTTAAACTCAGTAACTTAAAAGTACTATTCGGAACCCATAAGTTTCAAATCCTAGCTCCGCTTCTGGTAATGGAGACAAGATATATATAGGAGGAGAATATAAAAGTTATCTTATTCAAGTGTGTTTCTTGTGTGTTCTTCCATGGGCAAAGAATGTCATATTTATAGTATACAAGATACATCCAAAACTCACTAGATACATCCTATGAATTAATAGATACATCTATCCAGGTAGTACATTATATAGAATGTATGGATAGATTAAATGAACATCCATATACATTCACTTTATTTATAAAACTCTCCCTTGGATGTTCATTTGAAATATAATGTGCCTCGTTAAAATCTTACTACGAAAAATCCAGTGGAAAAAAACCTAGTGAAGGAAAAAAAGTACACACATCTTGTAATATGCATTGAGTGATGCCTCATTAAAAAAACTTACCATGAAAACCCACAAAACTTGATTAAGGAAAAAAGAGTACAACGCGTATTATGCTCCCCTTGATAAAAACATTATTTGATATCTTGAAGACGATGCATTCCAATATTATGTCCCAGCTTCTCAAATGTTGATGTTGGAAATGCCTTAATGAATAAATCTGTCAGATTATCACTTTAACGGATTTGTTGAACATCAATCTCACCATTTTATTGAAGATCATGCGTGAAAAAGAATTTTGGTGAAATATGTTTTGTTCTGTCTCCTTTGATATATCCTTCTTTTAGTTAAGCAACACAAGCAACATTATCTTCACACAATACTATTGGAATCGTCGTCTTTAAAGAAAGACCACACAGTTGTTGAATGTGTTGAGACGCTGACCTCAACCATACACATTCTCGACTAGCTTCATGAATAACTATTATCTGCATAATTGGAAGATGTAGCAGCTAAAGTTTATTTTCTTGAACGCCATGGAATAGTTATACCTCCATAAGTAAATAGATAGACTGTTTGAGATCTGCCTTTATGTGGATCAGACAAATAACCTGCATCTACATAACCAATCATTTGTGAATCGGATTCATA